TAGCCCGGCCGCCCGCGGCGCGCCCCTCGCCCCGGCCTCGCAGCTCCTGCTCCCTCTCCCGCCCGGGCACTGTCTGCGCCGCTCGAGCGCGCTCCGGGAGCTTAGTGGAGTCGCGGCGGCAACGTGGAGGAGGAAGAGAGCGAGCGAGCGAGCGGGGGCGCCGCGGTTCGCAGTCGCGCCTCCGAGCCCAGGCGCTCTCCCCCGGTCCGGGCGCGGAAAGGGGAGAGCCCAGCAGGGAGCAAGGGTCTCCGCCCCTGCTGCGCCGGCGGGGTGGGGGTGAGGGAGAGAAGGGATAAAAGCGACCAGACTCGGCTTTCACAAAGTATGCAGTGTTTTCTCCGCCGCCGCCGCCGCCCCTGCAGCTCCCGTCCGGCCTCTCTCCTTTTTCTCTGGGGTCTACTCTTTTATCCCAGCCTCTAAACGCACGCATACCCAAATATAATGAAAGCCTGTCGGCAAAAACAGCAGCGGAGGCTCCGCTAGGGCCTGTTGCCCCCAAGCCCTTTGCGGGAGGGGGCGCCAGCTTCCAGCCGCCAGCCCTGATTCGGCAATCACTGTCTCCACTGAGGCTTCCTTAGCAAACTTGGGGAAAGGGGGGAGGGAGAAGACTTACATCTGTCACTTTTTCATCGATCCTAGAGAGACTTGGTCCCCGAGGGTATCCAGGCTCCCGTTAGCCCCGCAACTGCTTGTCTCTTTACCCTCCCTGCTCTCACTCTTGGAATGTTTGAGTAGATGGTCCTACTTGGGAACAGGCAGAGAAAATGGCCCCCACCGGTACACAATCAGTTACTTCCTACCTCTCTTCCTAGTTGACAAGGATCTACCAACTCGCAGAAAATGTGACTTGTATGGGTACGAAAATTTTTCTGCCTTGAAAGAGGATTCACAGTAAACGGCTGCTGCAGAGACCAGAACGCAGGTGTGGGAGGGAAAAAAATACCACGAGCTGCCCGGTGGAGCAGAGTTCCGAAAAGGGAAGGAAGAGGCAGGCAACAGTTCCTTAAAAACTTTAAAAAATTCTTTTTAGGATCCATACTCTTGGCCTCCAGCTGTGTAATAATAAAACTAATGTGGTGGATTTGGGTTTTGTTTTGTTTTGTTTTTTTGGGTTTTTTCCCCTCATAGCTTCTGTCACTCACCCATGAAAATTTAATGAAGCATTTAGGGTTATTACCTCTAGAGTCAATGGGCTAAAAATATTTAGCCTAATGTACTCCTTGTGGAGCCAATAGGTCCGTGGCTGGTACATACGAAGTCATCCGGGAGACTCTCCCTTTCTCCACAAAATTCACGACCCATTAAACTTATTCCGTAATAACAGCTTCCGTACAAATGGAGGCCGAGCAAACGGAGGCTGTCATGCACCTCCTGAAAAGATAGCAATTTACATAGAGACAAGAAAAATTTGTGAGGTCATTGGCAGTATGCAATCTTGGGGAAATAGTTGATGAAAGGAAACTCAAGGTGGGTGGGAGGTGTCCCCACTTGTTTCTATCTACTTAGGAGTTTGACAAGGAAGAATGTAGTGGTAGGGACCAGGGACACTGACTCAAGGCTCTCCAACTTTTCCAAAGTTCTAGAGAGTGGGAAGAGTTGCTACCAAACACTCACAGTCATGGAAGTACAAAGTTCTGGCTCATGGGCCAAATCTCTGAAGAACAATAAAACACTTCAGTTTTCTCATCTATAAAGACAGACCTCAGATCTGAACTTCATAAACAGAAATCAAGGGAGATGGACACATCACAGAAGGTATGGTTGAAATAGGATGGGAGTAGAAAACCACTATACTCTTTCCTTGACTTAATGTCAAACCTTACCTAATGGAACAGAGACCTCACTTTTCATTGACACTACCAAAAATTTCCCAGTTGTTTGAGAACAGCTGCAGAACATGGAAACCATTTTTGCACATTTTAAGGCCTGAATATGAGAGAAGCAGGCCTTCACCTCCCTTACACATTGCTCTGTTTTCAATTAATGTTATTACAGATTTGAAGGAAATGGGGACTCCAAATTCACCAAATAATAGAAATGAAGGAGGCTCATGTAAAATGCTGTCTCTAGTCAGAGTAGAACCAGGGCAAATTTCCCTTAAGTCTGATGGGTAAAGATGGTATCTGTTCCCAACTCCAACCTGGAAGGAAACATCATAAATTGATTCTATCTGCACACAAACTGCCAGCCATAGACATGCAGTTTTCTCCATGAAACTAAACCAAATCTTGAAGATCTATTTTAACCTATTATCTTCTGGGTACTTGCTGTATATTAACTTATTTAACATTCACAACAGCAAGGTGAAAGAGACTCTCACTATGTACTGGATTAAATAAGAATGTTGGAATCTTAGGGACCCAAGTCATCTTTCACAAGTTATCACTGAAATTCAAAGTTTTCGTTCTCTCAACAGACAACTTTTCATGAGACACCTACTTTGTGATTATTTTAAGACTTCAAAGAAGTAATATGTAGAATGTGACTTGCACTGGAAAAGTCATGCACTAAACAAAGGCAGTATTTCCAGGCTGTTTCCAAAATAGTTCCTTTTAAATCAGTGTACTTCTGTGGATTCCATTCTATATATCAAGCACTATTCTAGGTGCTGGCTATAATGATAATAAATGAGAAGGAACTCAAAGTCAATTGAATGAAAACATGGAAATGAATAGCATGAAGATGGGCAAAAAGGTCTTTCATTGAAGTCCATGTAATTCATCACTATGTACATGCTTCTCAAGGTACTGAAAGGAGCAGTACATAAGTGTGTGTGTGTATACATGACCCATGATTAAAAGCAAGAGCAAAACCAAATGTCAGAAATCATAACGTCTAACTAAAAATAACATCTCCTCAAAGGTAAGACATTCAAAGTGGTTCATTTTTTATAGTCTACATTATTTTAAATTCTGTTTATTCCTTCACTTGTTTAAATATACCTGTCACCTGATGGAGTTTAATAAAATGAATTTATGCTTGTTGTAAGTTCTGGTAGTTTCAAACACAAATTATTAGATAGCCACAGTTTACTGAATAGTTTGTATAGTTCATATGCTAATATTTTTATCCACATAGATTTTTCAAATTAATACAATTTTTAATAAAGTTCAGTAGGAACACTTTTCACCAGTCATTTCAGTGGTATCAGATGCTTAAAATATACTAACATATAAAATGCACAGCATTTCAAAGGTTAATACCAAAGACGTATAAGTCTCTCATTGAGTTAATGTTCACACTCAGATTCTATTCATATATTTTTTAGAAATTACTGATTGGGCCCTCCCTGGTGGCGCAGCGGGTTAAAGCACAGCACTGAGAAGCTAAAGCCACTTCCGCATGAGTTCGATTCCCGCCTGCCCCAGAGGAGACCACATGGCAAGGCAGACCTCTCCTGACCCGCCCGCTGCTCCCTTCAGCAGTGAACTTCATCGATCTGCCTGTTCTGCTCCCCGCTCTGTCTCTGGTGAAGCCTCTCGCCGCCCCTGCACCTCTGGCCTGTACCCCTCAGTTCTGTATGTATAAATAAATAAATCTTAAAAAAAAAACTTACTGATTGTTTACTCTATAGCAGGCATAATGTTTGGCATTGGCAGAGAAAGAAAAACAAAGAAAAAAACCTGCTTTCAAACAACTCATAGCCAAGTAAAGGAAATACATAATGACGTTGCACTGCAATAAGTGTATGACTCTGCCAATAACAGGATGCTAGGTGAGCATCAGGTAGGGCATTGTAATCCAAAATTGATGTTAAAAGTATTCCTGAAGGAAGTGATATTAGCTTTAAAGATATCTGAGTAACCAGACCAAGCAGGAAAGGGTATTTCAGGCAAAGAAAAGTAGAATGTGCAAAAGCATAGAAGAGAATCTTCTCTGGGGGTAGCTTATGCTTGAGAAACAACACCAAGACATTACAGAAAGTCTTGTTTGCCATGTTTTGGACTTCAAAATTTAGTGTGAAAGTAAAATCATCTACTATTTTATAAGGTAGGGAAAATTTTTTATAAACCTGGTATTAACCACACATCAGACACTTAGATTCTGTGAACACAAAATATTCGATTATTGTTTCTCCTCTGAAGTCAAAAAAGCAATTAAAAAAATGTCTGTGTGACTTATCAAAACAGTGTTCCCATTTTTGATGATATTGGCCTTACTTTGATTCTAGAGAAAGGTTATTTAGCAGTATTGTGAAACTTAACTCTGGTTTACAGTAGCTATAAATAGCACTCCTTTTATTTTTCCAAGGAGGAGGTGGAGGAGAACAGCAACACTACAGTTGTATTTATACTACCAATCCTCTCTTTTTTTAGCTAACTGCACAGTAGTCAAAGGACTCTTAAGCTCCAATACAATCCCCCAATGTTTTTTTCACTCATAAAATGGGTAAGGTGATGTGAACGCTTAAATATAGGAGTAGACTAGAAAATCAGTGAGTTTCTGACGCCTCTGGAGTATCAGAAGCAAAGAAGAATTAGTGTACGGTAGGATGTGATACAGCTGCTATGTACTTTGTGTTAAAGGTATGACAGATGTTTGTTGTTTGCCTTTCCAGGGCTACTCCTACCCTTCTGTAAACAACACCCAGATTTCCTTGGGGAACCGTTCCCCCTACTAATAATGATTTTTCCACTTAGTTCTGGTAGAGCTGAATCTACTCTCACCTCCAGGGTTGGACAGGTGCAATGTATATCTTGGCCTCAATTCAGAGATGTTCAAATGGGTGACCTGTGTACTTTTG